GCCGTAATCGAGCCACAAGTCATTCTCAGGCATGTTTGTGGATTCAGGGGCGAAGTCGTGTAGGCATTTTGGAGCTTACAACATTTTGTAATCTTTGGAATAATGTAAATGGAAGTCATCCAGTAGGTCAGACAAAATTATATTTATGTCTCCATAGTTTAAAATCCCCAAATAGAGACCACAAATTATTGAATTCACAATGTTAATACCAAGAAGGGATTTATAATTGTCATGACCTTCGAAATAAACTTTATTTTAAGCTATTTAATCATCATCGAGAGAACAAAATATACAACGTTTTCAGATTTTTAAAGCTATTAAGCTCAATCTTTTCGCAAAACTTATAGTAGATAATCAATATTGGTGCAAAGTTCGTGAAAACTTTAAAATTGTAGTGTTTAAATCCAAAAGCCTGCCTTCTTTAAATATTCAGGTAAGTGTGGCAATCAAGAAAAAGGTCAATAAACATTTTTTTTTTTAAAGAGCCCCTGGATAGAATATTTTATGCATGCGCCTCTGACATTCTGGCTGCGTGTGTTTGTGTATCGTAAACAACGACAACAACAATTAATATTGCCTTTATTTTTATTGTAAGCTGTAAATTTTTGAAACAACGTTGCCGACGCTGCTGACATCGTTCGGCGCTGACCTTCTCAAGTTTGTTTGTTTGCCTTGCTGGCACTGCTTCAGCTTCAGATTTTGATTTGATTTGCTTTTGCTTTTGCCTTTGCTGCATGCATGCCAGTGAATGGAAAACGAACTGGGGCCAAAGTTTTATTTGTTTGCTCAATTTGCCTGGGACCTGCCCTTGTCCCCTTCCCATCGACCCCTCGATATGCTGCGTGCAATGCTCTCGAAATAGAAATCCATTGGGGACGCCTTGTGGAAAATCAATTTCAATTGTCTCGCACTTATCGAAAAAAAATGAAAAACAAAAAAAGATAGCAAGCGGAACGTATGAATCGAGTCAATCGCCATTGCTTTGTTTTCGGTTTTTCATTTGCACTTAGCAATTGAAAATTTCAATTGTAAATAATTGTTTAATTATCGACAATTGCAGCTGACTGACTGAGAACCGCTCAATCGACAGACAACAAAGCGTTCGTTTAGCCTGCCTGCGTCATGGTTACCTACCCCACCTCTTTTCCGCCGCCCACTACCACTGCCACCCATTTAAAAGGCCATAAACCAAAATCTGAGTCATGGACTGCGGTTATGGACAAATATGTGCACGGTTTTATATATGGCATAATTAAAGACCCGCAGCTGAATGCCAAATGCGATGTAATTACCATGTATTTCACTCGATGCGTATGTCTAATTAACCACACGGCGTATACGCAATCCATATTACTTACACGCCGTGGTGTCTACGAGCCTAATATGTACATAAATTATACATCAATCAGTATGGCATGGTCTAATCCGATTGCATCTGCTTCCCTCGAAAGCATTTCTTTTCTTTTTTCTCTGTCCACTCGATGGTATCGAATGACTGGAATCTAGCCTGCTATTCAGCCGTGAAACTGCACTGAAAAATATCTTTTTGTATATATTGTTGAAAATTGAAATGTTCAATTTTTATTTGAATAAAGGAGGCGTCGAGGAGAGGAATAATGGAAACTCTCTCTTATATCATACACATTTTTTGTCTTTTATTTATATTTTTAATATAGTAAAAATATAAGTAGATGTTATAATACTATAACGTTTTATAAAACCCCTTTGTTTTAAGCAGAACATTATTTGTTGCATAAAAGGTTCAATTTTTTGATTTGATCGTAACCAAAATATTATATTATTACTTTGTGTGTACCTCAAAGACTTGGGCAATCTCTGCCGGGGCACTCAAAACTAGTTATGTCTGCAACTGCAATTGTCTTCCGTCCGTCAGCTTCTCTGCTCCACTTAGCATTATTTTGCAGCTCCAACTTTCCAATCGCAGCCACTAAAACACTCAAAGTTTGTCGGTTTGTGCCGCTTGTCCTCCTCGCTTCACCGTACCATTTCATGAATATACCAAGACGACATCATAATTTGCTGGCCCAACCTCGAGCGCATGACAAGTTGCGCCTGCCAGGCTATACGATGGCCATGTTCAATCCAACTCCATTGACTGACAGCCGCTTTGTCTAGCTCTGGCCAAGACTTTCACCAAACTTGCAATGGTTTGGGGCACAGGGGGCCAAAAAAGCCAAAGAAAAGAGAGAAAGACAAACAGATACCAAAAGAAATCCCTAACCTACCACACCTCGAAGCTCAGATCTCGAAAGAAAGGCAGTTAAGGCGACAGCAGAAAATGGTCGTAATCAAAACAAATCAGCGAACGTAGACTTCATCATGCTGGCCCATCAATCATGGCCAAAACGAAACGCGATGGTCGGGTTGAATGTGCCAGGCGCGTCGCAGACAAGACACACAAATAAAGAAATCCAAAACAGTTGCCACCAAATCCCCCAATACCTATACCCGACCCAAAGTAATGGCCAACACAGAAACCATACATACACTAACACACAGTCGTCGACTTGTGGTCAGAAAATGTGGGATCGGTCGAGAGAAAAAGAGACGGCGGAGAAAGAGGAAAAGAGTGGGGACTATCGGTGGCACAATGAAGTGTTTAGTAAACAAATTGCGGTTGCCTTTTGATAATACGCAGCTCAGCTTAGCACTCAAATGGAAGCTGTGCGGAGTTCTTTATGTGGGGAGTTAAACGATGCACAGCAAAGTAGGCGTGGCAGGACGGGAAGGGGGAGGTGATGGGGCAGGGATGAGCTAAGTTATAAGTGCATTGCACCGAAATATCGATTGACGGAGCAGCTGGAGCAGCAGCAAGACGACAATCAACGCTGGCGGGTTCAGACATTCAACTTAAAATGCGTGTGTGTGCACTGAGATGAATTTAAATAATAAAACTGATAAACCAATAAAGTGTAATTATTTGCAATTACCCATAAAAAAAATAACCCTAATAGTACGTGTTCAACAACTTTCATCTAACTATAGTAATAATAATAACTCAGTAAATTATATCTTTCAATAACATTTATCTAATTATTGTTATTGAAGAAGTGCTATTAAGGCTATGAAAATATATTTTTGCTTTTAATAAATCATAAATTAGCCAACATTTCTGTCAATTTCAAAGCACCTTGGAAATTCTTGGCTGAGGTCGAAAACATATTATAAATAGAACACACTAAAAAGACCTGCATCTGCACCTCTACAATTTATGGGTCACTTAAACCAGACACGAACGAAAATAAAACATTTTAAATATGTAATCTCGAGATATTTTGAAAGCTTTTTTATTGAAATTCTAAATTCAACATTTCATATCAATTAATTATAATTATAATTTATAACCTAACATTTTAGCATTTAATTATAAAAGTATTGTATAAAAAATAAAGAGATTTCAATTATTGCTGATTTTGTTTTAAATGTGTAGACAACGGTTTATTTTTATTTTGTAACTAAAGTTCTTTATTAAAATACAACACAGATATTTAAAGCAATACCAAGAAAAAATACATTAAACTCAGGTCACCTTTTTCCCTCCGTGCACTGCTCAAAGTTTGTTGGAGCATATTAAAAGGATATTGAATGTGCGCTGGTGGGACGGTGGCCTAAGGGGAGGGGTTCCAGTTCGGTCGGTTTGTCGGGCGTTGGCGTTGGCGCTTGACGGCATCAACGTCACGCAAAAAACCAAAGGGAAACCATAAACTCAAATTAATGACCTCAGCAGGGGGAGTCAGGGATTTGGGGAAAGGGGAAGGGGAAAGGGGACTCGGAGACAACGGACAAATGCTGAAAGGCGAGACAGAAGCCAATAAGACCTGCAAGAACAACAATGCCAGGGAGCGAACCAAAAAATAATAATAATAATGAGAGGAAGACCAAGACAAGACGAAAAAGAGCTAACAGAAGTCGATGTCTGGGCGTGATTTACCGTTAACAGTTTTTTGTTGTCGAAAATTAATCTTATTGCAAGCGATTTCACTGCGATTTTCACTGCACTGCAATGCACTGCACACACAGTGCCCGAAAACATATAGATGGTAGATATATACAAATTGGAGCTGCTCCAGAGCAAAAGCGGCAGATGGTCATGGAGAATCAACTCAGTTGGCTCCGTGATTATGCAGTCGACGTCGCTGCCATCGTCGTCACAGTCGATTTGTTGTCAAACTGGTTTTACAAATATTTTGCGTTAATCTGGAAGCCCCAGCGATGGGGAGGCTATTGAAGGGGGCGCCGCAGCAGTTACATTGCAGTCGAGTAAAGCTCAGTGAAAGTCGGCAATGTAGTCCCCTCGCTGTCACCCCAGTCCCCAAGTCGATCCACCAGTTTCCCCTTAGCCAGCTAGTTAGCTCGCAGCACATTCAATTAGATTTAGTATAGGTAAAGCTAAAGCTATAGCCATAGCTTTGGCGTTGGCTTCCCCCGTCTGTTGGATCAGCTCATTCATGGCTCGGTATTTACAGCCAATTATGAGACAAACAAGTCCAACTCGCTGTCTGGCGATGTCACCGTGACACGAACAATAAATGTGGGCTTCAGAACAGCTAATATGAACATAACTAATGGAAATGTGTTCTATAGATTTAGTTACCAGGTATAATCATTTGAAATTGAATTAACCAGTCCCCTAATACATTTTAATATCAACACAGTCAATCCTTAATATTAATGGACTTTATCAGTTTCAGTTATACCGCTTTAGGCCTAAGTAGTGTCGTTCTAAACAGATTTGATTTGGGTTTTTGCAATTTCTATTACAAAAAGGGGAATGTATACAGGAAGTTGAAAATCTAATAAATCAAATTAGAAATTGTTAAAAAATTAATTTTATCAAATTTATTTTTCCCAGTTTTTTTAAAAGTAAAAATCTATGTCAGAATTCTGTGTCACTTGGCTTCCAGATTTCCTAGCTATACTCAGTTTCTTGGGCCCAGAAAGTGTCAATGGCTAAGATTCAGCTGTTTTACTAGACTCACCTGGGCATTGAAGTCGAATAGGTATTCGGGGCGCAGCGGACACGGCAGGCCGCACTTGCAGGTACCCTGAGTGAGCAGATAGTCCTTGATCTGGAACTGTGTACGCATCGTTTTGCCCGAGGGGCTGAAAAAAAGGGTTAAAAAGATAAATGTATTAGTTGGCTGGCCGAGATTAATTAGGTGAAGGCAGTCATGCCGCTAAACGCCCAATTTGTTTTATGGAAATTATACAATTACCCAAGACCAGTGCTTTGAACGACCATCCTCCCACTAAAGCCCACTATTACGGCAATTAGCCGCAGTTAAGTGACTACAGAGGCCAACTGATAATGGACGAGTGCTTGATTAACAACTCATTAGCATAATGGGCATTAACATGACAATGTAAAACGACTCACATATAAATTAATCCCAATCAGAACCGATCGCATGGCAAATAAGTGCGCGTCGATCTGCGCATAATTCAAACTGGTTTGCCTTTTGCGTTATATAGTTATTTACTGCGAACCATTTGGGAAACTACGTAATGATACAGTTGGCATTCTTTGAGGGATTCTTATTCTGCGACTGGCATTGGCATTTCAGGGTTAATATGTCTTGAGAAAATACGCAACAGATATGCGACAAAAGCGAATTTCATGGGGAAACTCAACATGTGCGAGAACAAAAGGCGATCTCATACATATGCACATATTTACCGATCAAAAAAAAAAAAAACGCGCCTATGCGCCATAAAATTATGAAAAGGCAAAAAATTGATTTAAATTTCGGGCACTTAATGCCTAAAAAGGAAAAAAGAAACCCGTCGAATCCAGTTTTAATAATGCCAAGCCCCTTTGCGAAATGGATCGGGCGGTTTTTCCCTTCTCAACACACGTTAACCCTTTAAAACCCTCTCACCGCCGCCGCCCCTCCCTTCAATCAGGCCACGCATGACCGCAAATCTGCCGACACAAATGTGTTGTCGCATGAGCTGGGGTTACTTCGGTATATGTATAAAAAAAACATACGAGTGTACGCAAAATAAAGAACGCAAAAAACAAGAGGGGAAAAATCGGAGCTGCTTATTAATTGTAAAGTGTGAGCACGTTGAAGGAATCAAGGGCGCTGATGATGACGCCGTCCAAGGAAAGCGGTAGCTGGAGGTGAAGCAGTCGCAGTTCGGCGCAGTTCCTCACTTCCCCTAACCTTGGAGTATTGTCCAAGATTACACAGAGAACAAATACTAACAAATTATTTGGGAGTGAAACTCATTCTGTATCTGAAATGTGTTCGTAAAAAAGCTCATCTAAATGTACTTTGAATCAACAAGTAAACTCCATAGATTTTAAGATTGCAAGCTGTTTAAAAAACAACATTTTTTCCTTTAATTTATTTTACTCTTTTTGCGTCAGAATAAAATAAAAACCAACAGAGGAGAAATAATCGCGTTATAATTTTTTCAAAAAGTTATTAAAAGTGTACAAAGAAATTATTCCTTCCAATACAATGTTCAGTATCCATAACTGCATAAAATAATATTAGAGTGTAAACTGGAACATAAAAACCCCGTTTTTTGTAACTAAGTAAGATTATTAAATAAATTTGCTCAAACAGAAAATTAAGAGTTATATATCTGCCATTTTTCTCTGCGTGTTGATGTTTCAAGTCCGTATGGGAAATCTGAATAATGCATGAAGTGTGAAAGCGGCGAGGGCATTAAATGAAACGACGACGACAGCTACAGGAGCTGTGAGCTGTAGCTGGAGGAACAGAACAGAACAGCAGAGACAACAATATAATTGAGCGACAGCAACATCCAACAGCAACAGCAGCAACACAGGGACGACAGCAACAGCAACGAGAATCGTGTTACGGGTTAAACGAGTATACGAATTGTCAATTGAGTAGCCCTTTAAGCTGGCCAAACAGGAGATGCCTCCACATCGCATCTCATCTCATCCCATTCCATCCCAAGTGCAAGTCCCAGTTCCAAGTCCCAGCATCATCATCAATGGGGAAAAAGGAAACTGGTTCTGGTTTGTTTTATTAATTATTTTTAACTACTTACGAGACCCAGAGCTTTATGAGCAACTGAGCCACGTTCGAGATTGGAAAAATCGATGGCAAGTCGATTGCCAGACATCACGAAGGACTCCGAGAGAGAGACAGAGAGAGAAGGAATCGATTGAGCGGGACGGAGAATCATCAACGCCAAAAGCTTATGGCTCAATTTGTATGCAGCTGGCGTGGCGAGAGGCTTAAGAGCCCACCGCTTACCACCGCAGTTGAGGCAGCAGCAGCGGCAGCATTGCAAACACGCAGCAGGCATCGTGCACAGAGAAAAAATTAATACGCTGCAAAAGGTAGTTAAACACACCTCGGTGCAGATAATTGGAATCCCTTTAGCCCAGTTTATGCCATTAACTTTGTGAAGGCAAACACTTTCGTTAACTTTTAAGACTGTGATGGGTCCATTAAAAGAATTAATTATTATTTTTCTGTATTACTTACAATTTTAAGTTAATTTTCTTATATTAAGCAACTAAATTTATGTAAATATGTTTCTAAAGGTTTTTTGCATTGCAGATTTAATTTGTTAAGACTATTAAGTTCCAATCAAAGCCTTACAGTAATAAATTTCAGCTTTTTATTCTCTCTGTGGCAGCGAAAGATGTCGGTAGCTCATTAAATTTTTTCTTTGCCTTGTATTTTTTGTTTGTGGTATTTGCACAAAATGCGCTAATAACGTGAGTGCCTGCAGGGACTCCTTGCCCTCCAATCCCCGCCTATCCACCCTGTTTCCCACTCTGTGGCCACATGAAAGGCGTTGTGCTAACGAGTTAAAATAATTTAATAAATTACACACAAAACGCCGAGTGCCAAAGAGTTGCTGTCGAGTGGCCATCGCCCATTGCCCATCAGCCGCCATCAAACATCAACCATCGTCTTGCCAGGCCCTACAACACCCCCACCCACTGGTGACTGTGTGAAAAGGTGGAAAAGTTTTACGCCTCTGTGACCTTGAGTGCACCCTCGAGCACAGAAAAGAGTTGGGAGTGCAGACAGCTGAGACCGGGATTGCGATTGGAATTGGGATTTGGTGTGGGCCTCCAGCAGCGACTGAGCCTATTACTAAATTAATAATCCCAAACAGCGCAAACACAAAACCGACAGCAACAGCAACTTGGCCCAAAGGCATTGGCATCAGCAGTGGGCCAGCTACGCTGTGGCGCATGAAACTGTAAAAAATTATCGCACAAAGCCAGACAGGCCAGACGGAGGCCACTGCCCGAGGAGGGGTCCCAGCAGTCGGGGACAGACAGGCGGGCCGTCCTTTTGGCCGGGACTCTATCCGTTGTCCTTGTGCGTCATGTCCTTGACAACGCGAAAAGAAAGCGAAGAGCGAGCAGCCCACAAAAACGGACGAATGCGGCCAATCGCAAAATGAATCATGCCCACGCATAAAAAAATATAAACCAAAAGGGCGTTTCTGTTAAAGAATCGGGGGCCCTTAATACCCATTATACCCTTTAGTCATTTTGACATGTGATATTTAATTATAAATATTAATCTAGTGAAATCCTGCAATCCATATTATTACACACAGGTTTTATAAAAGTATTTAATCATTGAAATTTATTAATCATTTATTGAAATCGCAAATAAATAGATTTTCCAAATAGCAAATTAAGAATGCATAGAACAAAGAAATTTCTTAAAAAGTTGATTGAAGTATTAAAAAATAGTAACATTTTAAATTTTTATAAAAATACAATTAGAAAAAGAAAACCTAAGCAAAAAACATTGTTTGCTTTGTTAGATCCTTAGATTTCACATTGTTAATACTAAGTTTGAATTACAGAGTACAATTTTAAGGCATTATTTAAAGATCTTTAAGGAATTCACTCGGGAATTAATTTCACAACTCTGTCCCTCATTATCGCAAACTCCTATGAGTCAAACAAGGCTTTTGAGACAAAACTCTCTGGGGTTTTCCCACGATATCAGCAACGACAAATTCGCATGGTGGGCGTTGACCAAAGTCAACAAGTCAGAGAGCCAGAGCTAAGCTGGCGGATTCGCAACAAATGCCTAAAAGTGAGTAAAATAAACACATTTCAAAGGTCTGTCCGTCTCTTTATCTGTCTGCCACTCCGGCTGAATGACTGCCTGGATGGCTGGCTGACTGCCTGGCTGACTGACAATGGAGCCGAGCAGAGCCGAGCCGAGCGGTGCGAAGGTGGCCTAGGCAAACAGAGGAGGGACCGGACCAACTGCTGATGCAACCTACGCGCCCGCTGAAAGGTTCATCCCGAGGCAGGAGGGACAGAGAAGAGGCCTCGTGGCAGGGTGCACACACGTTAGGAAAATTGAAAACTGCTTGAATCGCCGGCCAAACTATTCCGCATTCTTTGCAGGCTAGCGGGGCGCTTCGGCCCGTTTACGTTTGCGTTTCCACTCGATTCGATCGGCGATCTCCAGCTGCCGTTTTGGATTTATGATTTATGCGCCCGATGCCGCACAGTGGGCGGCCTCCCCTGACTTCGTTGGCTTTGACCCGGTCACAGTCTTTATTTCGCCCTCTGCCGATGTCACGTTGCGCCACAGCATTTAGCACTTGAGCAAACAACTACGGCAACAGCCACGGCAGCAAGATTTAATGCTTGCGCAACAATTATTGATTTAGTACACAATTTGTGCAACATTCTTACCGAGAAATAGCCGAAACGAAGCCAACGAGCGAACTACTTGCGGCAAGGACGGAAGCTAAACAAAAAGCGGTATTCATGATGCCAGAGCTGTCGGTTTAGCTGGTTAAATAAGGGGTCTAGGCAAATAGGAAATGGGATACTCAACCAAATTAATTTCTACTATATCATTAGTACTAGTCAATTTCATTCATTGCTTATCTATAGCCTTACACAAATTTATTTCAAACTACCTCCTGCTCTCTATTAAATAATATAAAACAATTATTCAAAATGAATTTAGATAATTTCTAGTTAGCTGTAATACTTTATCACAAATATTTTATAATTAGGTATGATCACGCAGGCAATGTAATCTAGTTTAACTGCAATAAAAAGGTACTGTTTACTGCTACCCTTGTTTCGGACTTTTTCACCCTTTTTTATGGTTTCTTCTAACACATATTTTTGTCACCCAAATTCTGACAACACCGCTGGCAACCGACGGGTTATCTTGCTTACCGAAACACGAAAAAGAACGCTCGACTCGAAAATTTGCAAGGGGGCCATGGCGACCATCCGCTTGGGCAAACAGCAAATAGCAACCAGCAACCCGACAAAACCCGGCAGCAACACGCAACGTGGAAATGAGCAGCAGCTGCTGCTGTTGTTGCTGTTGTTGCTGTTGCTTTTGCTGCCGTTTGCGGACAATGACAACGCTTGACACACGATGTCATGTCGTCGCCGGGCACAAGTAAATACCATTGGGCACGGGCTCTGGCTCTGGCCAGCGGGTCGTGAAGCAAAGGACGTGGACGTGAACGTGGACGTGGTAGCCAGCGGTGCCCTCAAAGTGTGTCCTGGAAGGGTAATGGCCCAGAGAGTGACTGGCTGAGTGAAATGCGACATTGCCGGTAAATGGACTGCGTCGGATAAGCTGCAACTTCTTGGCACTCCGACTACGTGAGTCGAGTTCTAAAGCCCAATAATCATAATGATGCCTGTCATAATGAGAATCACGGCTTGGTGCTCAAAAACAAACAGGGATATATCCCTTGGAAGCTTTCAATCTGGCAATCGAGCAGGGTATTCGCAGCCATAATCTGCACAAGTGGTTCGAAAAGCAGTTATCCAAGAGCCAAAGAGACACAGAGCCAACCCTTTTTGCTGGGCAAATGAGCCCGGGGCAACAGCTGCGAGGTAAACTATCCCAACGAGACGAGTCAAGCACTCAGAAGTGCCAGCCACTTATAAAATCAACAATTACCCAACATCGGCAACAACGGCAACAGCCACAAACTCGCAAACTGTTTGCGCTGAGCCCGAAAAAACCACTGAAACACTGAGACACTGAGCCCCCCTTTTTGGCCCTGAGGCGATTGGACAGGGAGAACAATTACAAGTACCCAGGCCAGCAGATATATCCACATACTCGATGCCTTTCAACATATCTGAGTAAACATTTTATTTGAGTTTGTAATTATGTGTGCTTGATGATAACTCGCAGATAATGCCAGGTAAATATTTGCCCCCGCTTCGTTGATGGTTGCTAGTTATTGCTTGTGCCTCGTTGCAAAAACATTTCTGACACGACTACCACTGGCCGCAACCCCCCTAGACGCCCACTAAACAACCAAGAGCCGCCCCCCTCCACCTCAAACCCCTCGGACAGTGGCATTTCCTGTACCGAGAGGGGATCGCTGAACATTTTTATGGCTTCTCGAATGCGTTTGCGTTTGCCAGACAATAACCAGATTGACTTTTAGCCCGGGCCCCCAAAGTGCTGTAAATGTCATGTCCGTACAACAGCCCAGCGACAGAATCAACAAGCTCTTTCTCTGTGGAGAGTGCTCAACCAGGAGATATCCTGTAACCATAGATGTTCCCCGATATTCCCTTTTGGCCAAATGGGCAACTACTCACCTGATGTAGGCCACCTCATTGTTGTTGGTTAAGCGACGCCAGCCAGGGGCCAAATTTCCATTGTAGCTAGTCGTCTTCTTGTTGCTACTACTATTGCTACTGGCATTGTTGGCTTTGGCAACATTCTTCGCATAGAGCTGATTGTTCTGACTCATTTGACGCGATGCAATGGTTGTCGGCATGCAATGCGTTGCCGCAGCAGCAGCAACAGTTGCTGCCGTTACTCCTGGTGCCACCGTTGACTTTATTGGCAACTTTATTTGCGCCTGGCGCTGTTTGGTTTGTTGCTGTTGTTGTTGTTGCTGCTGCTGCTGTTGTTGATGTTGCAGCAGGAGTTGCTGGTTGCTAGTGGGGCAGACAAATATGTGCTGCTGACTGGTGCGCTGCTGTTGTTGTTGCATCGTGTTGCCGTTGCCATTGCCATTTACCAAGCCAGCTGGTAATATCTGTTGCGAATGCTGCTGATGTTGCTGCTGCTGCTGTTGCATCGATGCGCTTGTAACGACCCGCGATACAAATTTTGTCTGCTGCTGCTGGAAAAACTGATGATGTTGCTGCTGTTGCTGTATCTGCTGTTGATGCATCGGCAACATTTGCTGCTGCTGCTTGAACATGTTGATCTGTTGATGCTGCTGCTGCTGCTGCTGGTGATGCATTTCGCTGGCCACAGTCTCAGCACTCCCAGCAATATTGAGTTTATGCTGGTGCTGATGTTGCTGCTGTTGCTGACCAGCAGAAGCGGCGGCCATGGCGATAACAGCAGCCGTTTAGTAGCTCCTCCGCGATTCAGGGCCTGCAAAAATTCAAGATACTTCGCCTATTAGTCACACCGTATCACAATATTTAATTATTTACATTTTATTTACTTTTTCGTATTATTAAAGTAAAACGGGCCTGTTTTAAAACAAAATAATTAAGCTGCTTATTGGGATAAAATTAAATTAAAAGCATTTCTCTGAAATTTAAATATAGGCATATATAGTGTTTATTTCTAAAAAAAAGTTAAATCGAAAAAGTTGAGTTTTTTTTAAAATTAGAAGAAACGGTTTTCAAATATTTAAGATGTAAGAATATGTACATAGTTGATAATTTTACATTCCTATTTGTTATCATCCCAGATCTTCGAGGGCTTTGTCTCCGGGTTTTAGGTTGACTCAGACCTCGAAATAAATCGAATGGAATTGCGTTGTGGCCTTTGTTTTTTTCTGGTTGCTGACCGACTACTTACAAAAACAGAAGAATTGGAAGCCCAATCAGCGTTTATGCGTTGAGCGTGTAATGAACATGGAAGTGGCCTAAATCTGGTTTATTCGCCATCTCACGCACATCCAGCGCACAGACAAGGTCATAAACCCGTACTAGCACTTAAATAGATACTGCTAACTGGGCGATCGTATAAACGACAAATCGTAGGCCGCACCTTTCGTTATTTATGCGTTGTTAAGTTTTTGCCCCCCCCTTATTCTCCTATCCGCTTACCTTTTAGCGTGCTTTTCGCTTTGCTCATTTGCCAGCATATTAAATTAATTTTGAGTTATTGTGTAAACGAGACGCGGCCATGTCATGTTCATGTTTTTATGGTTTCTTTTTTTAAAACACTTAATTTCACTTTTTTTTCTGTATTATTATTATTTTATATGCCACACTGCTTCTATTTGCTGTAATAGTGCGACAACGACTTTTCTACTTGAGCTGCGTGTTGTGTTGTTGTTTTTTGCTGCACAGAAAAAAACGAGTTGGACGATTACTCATTTTAAGTGATTTGGAAATGTGGAACGAAATTATTTTAATATTTTGTCATTGGCATACGAATCATACCCAAAAATTAAGTTAGATGAAGAATATTTGGTTAATTTAGAAGCTTTTGGGTAAAATTAAAATATTATATATATTTAAAACAGATATCCCTATATTTTTCTTGTAAGCAAGAAGCCAAATCATATGTTGTTATTAATTTTTGTTTCTGTGCACAGTCTGCTCATGACTTCATTTAAAATTCAGAAAACGAACGTCAGCAGTGGCGAATGGAGAGTGGAGAGCAGAGAGCGCGTAAAAGTAGGTGAATGGAGCATGAAGACACCAAAGCAGAGAGAAAGGAAAGAGAGCGAGGGGGAGGTTGTGGGAGGCGGGGGTTGGGCATCACCCACACCACTCTCTCCCTTCTTTTTACTTTAGCACAATTTGCAGACTGTTTTTTAAGTAGTATAATTAATGCGTGCTTGTTTGTTTGTGTGGACACCACCTGCCCTGCGGTTCTGCTCCGGCGATCATCGCCCAAACAACACAAACAACACTCGCGGAGAGCAGCTGTTTGCCTTGGGCTGTGCACTATGGTCAAAACACCAATTTTCCTGGCATTAATTAGTAACTTTAAAAAAATGCGTTTATAATAACAAAAAGGAAATTATTTTGATAAATAACCGAGTCATATTTCTTTTTTAGGAGGGAATTTTTTGTTTCCTATTCTGTGCTAATAATGTTTATTATTTAATAACATTTTTACTTGATGTAACAGAGTTTCTAACTTAACAATGAAGCGGTAGATTGATTTTTTGGCAAACACAAAAACTAAGCGCCGTTAAAAAATCTTGTTTAATCGACTTTTTAAAGTTTGTAATTGGCCCACCGTGCAGTGGGATGAAAACGAATATTGGTGGCTATCTCGGTGCACTGGTATGGGTATTGGGCAATCGCACACACACGCGTGCCTATGCTGCGGTTTACTGCTGCTATAATATGTACAAAGTGACCTCAATACGCATTACGCTACAACACAACACACACATTTTGTCACTGACAACTGCACTTCGTCTTTGGCTTTATTATGCACAGACTCGGATTACGCCAAATGCCAATTAAATATGAATTAATTACAACAATTTTGTGTCGCTCGTTCGATTCACGCAATATTATGGCCCTCTCTCGCTCTCTGAACCTTTCTCTCGCTCCCACTTGCACTCGCATTGGCAAACGCGCACACGAAAATTTTCTTTTCTACTGCCCGAATTTCGACTTTTGTCCACTTTCTTTGCGGCCAATTGGCCCTTTTACACACCTAATTACGGAGCTTTTTTTGCTGCGGAGAGTGCGCGCATTTGTTTTGGAATTTTTATGCTGTATTTAACGGAAAATCGACGGGCGCTGACCGTACCTCCGTGCACTTTTCCGACCGCGACAACAACAATTGTGATGTGACCAGAGGTGGGACATTGGAGCTGAGACAAAAATCGATGCTATCGATTTGACTCAAATCGATATTTCCTTGCGATTATTTTCCCGCATCTTGCGAATATCGATATATACAGACGTTTCACCACACTGCTTGGTAACGAAAACGCATCCCTAACACTCAACGAAATAATTTAAAAAGGTTGGCGGGATCGATTTTATATTTTTTAAAATGTATATTTTTAGCCAATCCTAACGGCTGTTTAAAATTAATGAAATAAAACAATTAAAATCCTTCAGTTACCTTGTTACTTGACAACTATTGAATTTTCAGCCAATCAAACAACATGAAAGGCTAAGTTTTCAAATATTTGGCTATTAAATAAAATAAAAAAAATCAAAAATCAAAAAGCGATAATAATGTTAGAAATATTTAGGACACCCTATGCAGACTCCAAACAACTGCCATTGGCCAGTGGGCCGGGACCTATCCTGATTATCATTACCGGCTATCTGTTGGTCGTTTTTAAGGCGGGCCGGAAGTTCATGGAGCACCGCGAGCCATATAATTTGCGAGGTGTGCTCAAGTGCTACAACATGTTTCAGATATGCTACAATATGATGATGCTATTGCCCGTGAGTCCGTAATCAAAGGGTTTAGACATTAAATTGAAGAGGTTCTCCCTTAGGGTTACTACTTTCTCTTCGTGTTTAAGCCATACAACATGCGCTGCATGACTGTCCTGCCGCAGGATCATCCGTTGAAGGATTGGGAACGCAGCATCAGCTACGCGTACTACATAAACAAGATCGTGGACCTGCTGGACTCCGTCTTCTGTGTGCTGCGCAAGAAGTACGCTCAAATTACTTTCCTGCACGTATTTCACCACGTCTTGATGCCCACTGCGGGATACCTGATAATCCGCTTCCAGGGGTACGGAGGTCATCTCTTTTTCCTGTGCTCCTTCAATGTCATCGTGCACGTGTTCATGTATGGCTACTACTACTCGGCGATCGAGAGCAAGACGGTGTGTTGGAAGCGGTACATGACCCTCCTGCAAATGATGCAGTTCGTCCTTATGTTTGGCCACTGTGCCTTCACCGCCATGCAGCGCGAGTGCAAGGCCTCGCAGGGCACCCTCTACCTGGTCAGCTGCTCCGCCGCGGTCATGTTCATGATGTTTGCCAACTTTTACGCTCAGTGCTATATGAGACCGAAGGACAAGGAGAATTAATTGCATGATTGTCAGTTTTCAATTTAAAAAACACTTTTTAAATATTAACCGTTCTGATCGCGAGGGCACATTGGGGGTACTCAATTGAGCTATCGAATTTATGGCCAGCTCTAATTTCCGCATACGGTCACACTCTCAAAGAGCAACAAAACGCGCGCGTTGCCGGCAACCGTCGAAAACTCCAATTATTTGCGAAATTGCTATTAAAATTTGTAGAATTAATTTAAATTATTGGTAACCGGTCGATGGTTCGACAACTTTAACTGGAAACATGTCCGCCAGCTCCTCCAGCAACGCTTGCAAGCTTTTGCTGCTCGGTCGTTGTCTGCGCGCCGTGCTCCTCAGCGTGGCCATCCAGTTCCTTCTGCTCACGGTGTTCCTGCTGTCGGTGAACTTCCAGCTGCTGCATCCGCTCTCCTGGGTGACGGGAACATTGCGCCTGGTGGCCAGCTGGTACACCTGGTTCGCCAGCATCCCGCTGGTTGCCTCCGTTGTCCTGTACGGCGTCTCCCTGTGCCAACAACACCTGTCGGAGCGGCCCTACTGCCCCACCCGCTATCGCTGGCTGCTCCACTACGGTCCCCGTAAGCTGCTCCTCCTAGGAGCCCATCTCCTGGTCGGATTCCTCACCGCGTGGCTCTACACGGGCTATCTACACACGGACTACCAGTAAGAGTTCTGAAAATGGGTAGATTTTGGAAGCAGAAAAGACCATCTTTTAAACTCCAACCCCAATAAGATTTTATTATTTCTTGACTAATGATTATCCCTTTACCCTAGACATTTGCGGTACAAGTGCTATGGCCAGGAGTGCATAAGTGCCTACCATGTCTATCTGCTGGGCATGGGCATTACGGCCGGCTGCTACTACTTCGTCTCCGTCCACATGCGTCAGGAGGTCTCCATTGAATTCCCCATTGTAGAGCAAACCCGGGGCGAGAAGCTGCGTGAACTACTTTACGCCAGTTTGGCCCGATCTCTGGTCAGATCCCTGCTACCCACGCTCAGCTACACCCTCGTCTTTTGGCTCTTTGGACCCCTGATTTGCCACAGACTCAGCCACATCCTCTCTGTGGACTTGGACGAACGGCTGGAGGGTTTCTTCGGAGTCGCCACTAATGTACGTCTGCTTTTCTATGGCTATTTGCTTACTGTCCAGATTCTGAGTAATATGCACCTCATGCGCTGCTTCTACGGCATGGTACTCTCCGAAGATCTGCCTTTGGTGGTGTCCAAACAGCGAGCGGCCTTTGCCCACGAACAAGAGGTGACTATGGTCGCTGGGCTCGGAGTCTTCAACGTTTATGTTGTACAGTGCCTGGCTGCTAACTACTTCTACAAGTTGGCCCTGCGAAAGGATTCGCCGCAGCGGGCGGAGATATTCCAGCTTACGGAGCCGGGGAACCGCCCAGCGAATTGGCGCACCCTCTGCGACCAGTGCCTGAGTATTCTGGGCAGCTTCACCGAGGAACTTACCGAGTCCATGCAAAAGATCAGTGTGCTTAATGGTGCCCAGAGCCTACCAATGCCAAAGATTAGCGAATCGATTACAACCAGTTTTATGGCCGAAAAGCTACTGATGCGACAGTACAACCAGATGCACGGCATCCGACCCATTGTGTCGCCCAGACGCGAGGATGCAGTGGATAGACCGGCGGATGGCATTCGTCATGTGCCAAATTGGTGCGAGCGCGTCTCCAAGCAGTTGGAGCAGTCCCTGCAGCGTCTGGCTCAGCGAGTGCCCGGAATTGTGTACCTCTTTGAAGAACCCGAAGGCGCCAAAACGACGTTCCTCCTGGCAAACTCCCTGCCCGTGGTGTACTTGACTCAAGCCCTGGCCCAGATTTGCGTGGCCTCGCTCAAAGAGGATCCATATGGGGTGGTGCAGAACGATCTGCCAGCCATTATCAAGGCGATAAACAAGCTACGAAATGAGCTGGAAAAGCTGAGCAGTGTGATAGGCAACATCAAAGTACCTAGCTCCAACTTTAATGTCCTCCGATGTGCTGTGCGGCGCAGTTTGTACGCTATCTGCAATTCCTTCTGTGACTACCTCGGCGATATTCTGCCGCCCGGCGAGGAGTTGCGCCAGTTGCAGGCCCTCGTCTGCCAGGAGTAGAACCCATCCATCACATTTAAAACTTATCTTGTACACTGTTTTTCATCTCTTTCATTAGTTGTTGTCTGCGGTAACAATAAAATTAATAAATATAACTACAAACGTACAATAGTTATACAAAACTATTGACTTTTTTACTTAGAGTACGAAATGGTAACACGCGATTTGATCATAACTACTACAGGTGAAATAGTTTGCAGGGTGAATGTGAACGAGCGGACAGCTTCACTGCTCCTCCATGGCCACTGCCATCATGAGCAGCGCCACATCCTGCTCCAGTCGGCGATTGGGTCATAGCTCTGTTTTCGCTGGCAGTGAGCTGACGACGGTGACGTTGGCTGCCTCTCCTAGGGACTGCTCCAGCTGCTCGGCCACCTCATCCAGGTGCCTCAGTGCCTCCTTGCCCTTGCGGTTGCGTCCGTCCACGAAGATCTGCGTGTCCAGGAAGTGCAGGGCACGGAAGGCCATGCCGCCAAGGGGGTCATATAAGCTCTCGGCGTTCTTGGGGTTTCTGGCATTGGCGCTCTGGTCAGGCGTACTGGGATCGAAGGGCACGTACTCCTGAATGGGCTCCTTGTGCCAGCGGAAGATGTTGCGCGAATCTGAAAGGAGGCGTTGTTTGATCATCTTATACATTTGAATACTTTAGTAGCCATAGAACCTAGATCAGCTAGCACTCGCGTCATTTCGCGAATCTGGGCATCCTGTCGCTCCAGCCGGAAGCTCATCTCCGTCAGCGTGTTGGTCAGGTCCATCTTCTCCGACTGCGCCAACTCGTTCTTCTTGTTCTCCTTGATGGTTTGACTGGAAGGTGAAAATTGTCATAGCTTGGAGATGACCAGAAAAGCTTGAGCACTAACCGTGAATATTCGAAGATCAAAAGACCGGCTCCGATCGAAAAGATGATGAACTCGCCCAGCAAATTGGCTCCCAGTTCAATGGCCATCGCCTCGTTCAGTGGCGGAACATTCACCCGGCCGCCCATGTTCAGCGCCCACATCTTGGTCTTCACCTCCACCCAGTTGTAGACTGAAAAAGTGGGAAAACAGTCGTAATCTCATCTTATCGAATCGGATTTACTTACACTGCGCCGGCGGCATGCAGATGTACTTTCTGAAAAAGGGACTGGACTTGGCATTTGACTTGAGCACGTTGGCTATCGGTTTGCTGATCTGCTTGATGGCCAAGACGCCGAGCTTGGCCGCCGGGAAGACGCCGATAACCATTATGTTAGTTGTTACTAATAGCTATTACAAAATATTCATGCAAAATTAGAGATGGGTGCAAGATAGCGGTGTGCGTAGTGAGGAACGATATGCTCCCCTTTAGTGATGGCAAATTTAAAGACTTTTTAAGGCCGTTATAATTATGAGGCCCCATCGATAGTGTATTTTCGAAAGTCAAAAATGTAAGCTGTAAATTTAAAGTTTGTTTGATAATCAAAAAAAAATGTATCATCTTCAAGTGTTTTAAAAAATTTACCACGAAATGCTTTATTGTTCTATACATTGGATTTCTGTGTATAAAATACAATTATTTTTTATTTTGTTAATATAATGAATCTTATTAAATTAATAAAGAGATAAATAAACTTTTCAAATTTTCACTAACAAACGAATTATCCATAGAGATTTCGGGCTATTTACAGTGGTTACAAAACATTAAAAAACGTCACTTTTCAGTTTTTCACGGCTGCCTTAATACAGTTAATGTCATGTTCCTGCCGCTCAATATTGTCACTTATACGATCCACACGTTCATCCAAAGCTCTTCTTTCCTCCTCAACCTGCTGTTGTTTTTTCTGATCATTTTTATAAGATCTAATACAAATACAAAAATGATATTAAAACTGGTTTTAAAATATCATGGTTTTAGTCCCACTTTGAAACCTCATAGTATATTAGTCCTAGTCCAATGGCAACTACAATGGCCTCACTCAGCATATCTGCGCCCAATCTCGTGGCGATCGGAGGTGTAAGGCGTGGAATCCTCCTGGGCTGTTTCAGGCGAAGCATTCGCATTTTGGAACGGACCTCAAAGACGTTGTAAAGTTGAGCCGGCGGCATAATGACATAGTGCCGAATAAATGGGTGATGTTTGCCCATCCACATCAGAAGATCGCCAACTGGCTTGCTTACCCGCTTCAGGCCAAACATGAATAGTTTTCCCACTGGAAAACTGCCGATCACCATTGTAACTTTAAATTTCCCACGAAGTTAAATGTGACTGGCTTCTCAAAGCCAGTTTAGTTACATTCCGGATCCCTCGTATCACTATATCCTCGATCGCTATCTCTACGCCTCACCATCGTTCTAAGCTGATTGATAACCATCTCCTGTCGGGATACCTTGTTGACTAGGTCACCAATTCTTTCCTCCAGTTGCTCCCGATGCGCCTTTTGCTTTTGCTGCTTTATTCTGTCATTCTTTGCCTGCCTAAAACACAAAAAATAATCAGTTAAAATCAATATAATACAGAAACTAAACCTGGAGAACTCTGCTATTATGAGCGTAGCACCAATCAAAAAGATGCACATCTCGCCTAGGATATCGCTGCCCATTTCAATTTTCATTGCATCATTTAATGGGGGAATAAACCGAGGTTGTCCCAGTCCCAGCATCCACATCTTTGAGCGCACATCGATTACGTGATATACTAAACACGATTTTCTTAGAATCAATATTTAATTTCAAAGAAATACTTACATCTTGCTGGTGGGGAGACAACCAGGGATTTAAATGACTCATTCTTTTTTGCCGTTCGCTTAATCAGATTGCTAATGGGTTTACTTATATGCTTAATGCCTAGCAAAGCGAGTTTCCCAAGTGGAAAAACACCCACAACCATTTTGCAATCCCTTCTCTCACAATAAGTGAAAATTTCAGAATTCAAAATGCATCAGTGCTGTAAAGCATTATTGGAAATGCCAATTCGACGGTCTGGCAGCTCTGAAGGGGCGGGAAATTCGAAATACTATTACCCGTGATAGTTTACAAAATCGACTTAATACGATTTCTGATTTCTTTTTATTTGTTTTTGGTTGTTTTATAATCTTTTAAAATTCTTTAAATATATTCTGTAATTATTGTGTAGTTTTGCCTGTTTCAATGTAAACATTGTATTATTTGGCATTTAAGACCCGGTCACACCTGTTGTCCAGAAACTCTCATTTCATTTGTTATTAATTGTAATATAATTTAATACTATTATTTTGGCTACAAACAATGTCGTATATATCAAGTTCTGATGAGGAAACCGACTTTAAAGAGATAAGCTCTACAAATTACCAACGTGTGCAAGAAAAAGTCGCAAAAGTAGGTTTAAAAACACACTTGCCGTGGCCAGCCTTCATGAACAACCAGCTGTTTACTATTTATTTTAAAATCTATAGGACTTAAAAATGCCCTTTTTTTTAAGATTAGCTACGCAGATGGCATTGCCGATGGAAGGGAAAAAGTCTTCCAAGAGAGCTTCGACGAGGGCTTTGAGGATGGATTCAAAACTGGCTTCGAACTGGCCAAATTCAGTGGCTTTTATGAAACCCTGAAAAATGCGGAGGCGGGAAGTCTAGAACTGACTACAGAACAAGAACTTTACCAACTACTGAAACTAGCAGATGCCACGGATAAGACGCACTTCAAATATCTGGAACATCAAGGAGAACCTCTCAACGTTATTTCGGAAAAACAAAGGACATACGTAGATGACCTTTTGGTGAAATTTGATCAGCAACTCCCAGCAACTACAAATTTATTCTCATCGGGCAGCGACTCTAGTGTTAATGTGGTTTAATGCATTTGTTTGGGAATTATCAAAATTAACTGAAAATATATCTGCTTGCGACTTATAAATAAAGGCCCTCGGGCGTGCCCTCCTTCTTCCGGTACAGGACGCTCTCCTTTGACTTCTTGAAGTCCTCGTTGGTCACCTTCATGCGGCGTTCACGCAGCGCCATCAAACCGGCCTCCGTGCAGATAGCCTTGATGTCAGCGCCGGAGAGATCATCCTTGGCCATGATCAGCTCACTGAGGTTCACATCCTCGGCCAGCGTCATGCGCGATGTGTGGATGGTGAAAATGCGGCGCTTGGTCTTCTCATCCGGCAGCGGAAACTCGATCTTACGGTCAATACGACCGGGACGAATTAGCGCCGGGTCCAGGGTCTCTATGCGATTGGTGGCCATAATCACCTTGACATCACCACGCGAATCGAAACCGTCCAGCTGGTTGAGCAGCTCCAACATGGTACGCTGAATCTCGCGCTCTCCACCAGAGTTCGAGTCGTAGCGCTTGGTGCCTACAGCATCGATTTCGTCGATGAACACAATGGAGGGAGCATGCTCTTCGGCCACTCGGAACAGTTCGCGCACCAACTTTGGTCCGTCACCCAGGTATTTCTGGATGAGCTCTGAGCCTACCACACGCAGGAACGTGGCCGAGGTCTGGTTGGCCACCGCCTTGGCCAGAAGGGTCTTGCCCGTGCCCGGCGGACCGTACAGAATGACGCCCTTTGGCGGCTTGATGCCCATCTCCTCGTAGTACTCGGGATGGGTCAGCGGCAGCTCGACGGACTCCTTGATCTCCTGGATCTGAGTGTCCAAGCCACCGATGTCCGCGTACGTTTCCTGTGGAGCCTTCTCCAGCTTCATCACCGTGACCATGGGATCGGTGTCGTCACTAAGGACTCCCACAACGGCATGGACCTTGTGGTTAAGTAGGACAGAGCAGCCGGGCTCCAGCTGGTCCTTGTCCACGAAGGACAGGATGCTCACATAGTGCTCGGAGCCTACCGATGTGGACACGATGGCATGGTTGTCATCGATTATCTCCTCCAGGTTGCCCACGGACATGGGTGTACCCCGCAGGTCGTCCACCTTGGAACGCTCCTCCTCGTTTTTCTCGTCTTGGGGCTTCAGACGCTCCTGATTGCGGATGAACTCGTCCTCCATCATCAGGTAATCCTTGATCCGCTCCAGCTTGAGCAGCTTCAGGCGGCAGCGCGTGTGGGGCGTGACCTGGGGCAGCTTCATGGCCGCATCCGGACCCTTTGCGCGCCGCTTCTTCTTGCCAACGCGCGTCGGGATTGGGGGCTCGTACTTCTTCTTTTTGTCCTTGTCATCCTTCTTGTCTCCAGCTCCCCCTTGGGCTGATTGGTTTTGTCCCTACAAAGAGATACATCCCGATCATAAATAAGTTGCTGGTGATTTGCGGGGCATGGTTTACCATTTTACTGAGGTGCTGTTCGTTTACTAAACCTTTGATTAACTTTTTGACTCTTTATTGTCGGCAACAAAACAGAATTTCTACTAGTCATAAGCAACGCGAAGTTGGCTGCGGCTGAGATACCGTACTCACGAAATACGAAAGTCTGGCAGCTTTGTGCGTGAATCGGTGAACCAAATATTTAAAATAAATTTTGAAATAGATTAGAAAGGCAAACCATACCTGGATTTTCGGTTTTTAATACTAACAACTTAAATACCTTTTAATTTAGTGGAAATCGTTATTTTAAATAATCACGACTTATGTATATAACTCGATAACAGTGAACAGTCACTCCCTAACAGTCTGGCAACACTTGAAAATTGTTTATTGTTTGGTTTCTACCGCGAATTCTCTTAAATTTTTAAATTTGCTTTATTGCACCATATTAATGGATCAAAACGTCAAGAATATCGACCTCAATCTCGACAATATTGAGGTTCTGACCACCGGAACAGCGGCCGAGTTTGTGAACGGCATACTAGACTTTCTGCTTTTCCAACGCCGCCAAATTCCCTTCGTGTACAAAACATACAAATATTATGTGGATAAATGGTCTGATGCGGATGAGACAAGGGAATCGACGGATAGGGAGTCGTTTGCCCACTATCAGCTTAACCAGCAGCGCTCCAAGGCAAAGGCCACCAAGAAATCCATCAGTGACATGAGAGAGGTGGGGTTCCTGTTGCAGTCCTGCATAAGATTACTAATTGTTTCCCTATCTTTACTTGCAGCTCATTCGACAGGCCTTTAGGACCTCTGAAGTAAAGAGTCTACGATTTCTGTTCGGAAACAATACGTTTTTGCCCTCGGAGTCTTATACCCTGCACATACCACATGATTCCATATCCAGGGATCACTATTGCGAGCACCATGCTCTACCAGAAGGTCGCATAAATCAGGCGCTGCTCCGCCTCCTCACTTGCGAGGAGTTGCACACCCTCTTCTCCACGGAACTGAATGCTACCAATGTGTTCCTGGAAATGGAACTTCTAACAGGAAATGAGATTGCTCAAGGATCCCGAAAGGACCCGGCCAATCTGATCCCCAAGGATGTCTTGAGTCAATTGCCACGCAGTTGCAAGAACATACACATGCACCTCTTGCATTGCAGCGAGAATACATCGACTGAAATGCGCTGCTGCAAGGAAATGACCATTTTCGAGGACTTTGGCCTGCTGAATCTGAATAAATCTGAAAAAGAAGGTAGCAGGGCTAACGACTGTTCGGAGAGCACCAAGGAAACCAGCGGCTGGTGGCAGGCGGATGTCATAGTTCGAGGTTTCAGGGCTCCTGCCAACCAAAAGTCCGGAGAATTGTGGTCCAGCTAAAATTGTTGGTAGTTAAGACATACATCTAAACTAGTACGTTTGTGCAAATCCCAAGAATAAATGTGTCAAATTAATCATACTTATTATAAATCTGAACCTTTTTATTTGTGTAGGTTAGTAAGTGAAATATTGGTAAGTTTAAGGGTTTTAGAAAGTGTAATACAAATTAGCATATTATTATTTGATAATGTAAGAGTTTATGGAAGTGTGGTTAAATGGGGTATTTTTGAAAAAACGGTTTGCTTGGAGGGTTAAAAAAAAGTGTAACAATTATGATTTTGTTTCGTTGTATATAGTATTATATATATATTATATAACTCGTTTAGAGTTAAAACAAAAAAAGACTATGCATGTGAAGTCAAGTCTGATTTTTGCATGGTTCAAAAATGTTCTCGAAATTGTTAAATGAAGTATGTTGTTTTAAGTGTAGTTAAAATAGCAGATGATTTTGTTTACTAATTAAGTAGTGATAATTATGGGCTGTGGGTTGTTGACCTCTCGCTGCTTGGCCACAATCCGGTTGGCTATGCGGTCCATGTCACGTTGGCCTAAAGGAGTCAGCTTGCGACCCCCATCCGGATGCTTCTCCACCATGCGAGCAGCTTCCAAGGCTTGAAGAGCCTGTAGAAGATAGTTTTTAATAACTATACCATATTTTCGGATACCTTTCCAATCACCTTGCGAATGCAGCCATCCGAGGAGGTGCAGAACTGCGAAGGACGCGCTCCGTTTCGCTTGCGTCCTCCGTAAACCTTGGTAAGGGCCGAAACTCCTGATGGACTGCGCAAATACAGGTGCCTCATAATTGAGGCGCAACGAATATAAAACCAGTCTCCGTCGGTGGGCCCCGTCTCCTTAAACTTGGCCGTCTTTATGTAGTCCGCTTGCTCGGGCACGACAACTTTTCCGGATTTTTGGAGAAAAGTTGCTAAAGTTTTTGTCAGAACGTGCTGGTCTACGTCTTTAACTGTGACACCCGGCATCTTGCTGACTATGATTTTTAGTATTTTTCTTAAGGATGTTCTAGGTAATTCTGTATTAAAATTGTCTTACTTGTTAGGGAATAAAAAAGTTAGTTTTACTTCCTTGTGGACTTTTGCCAAAATGGACGTTTAAAAAATGGCACTTGCCAATGTGACCAAGTCTCTGAACAGGAAGAACTGCTTACCGATAGTTCTGCAGGTTACGACAAGTGTCTTGGCAACTCTATTATTAATTTTCGTTAAAAAATGGTTTCCTTTGATTTTCCGCTGAATCCTGTTCTAGAAAGGAGGTACAAAATATATAAATATAGCCTTTTTCTCTTAAAAATTAAAAGGCAAATATTAAAAAAAAGGCTCTCAGCATATTTTGTATTTGGAAATAAAAGAATTTAAAGTCGGCTTAAGTGTTTTTTCCTTTCTTTTAACTTAGAGGTGTTACATGTAAAATATAATAATCGTGTTTTGCTTATCAAAACAGCCAAATACGTTTAAATCCAAGCGCTTCAGTATGACCAGTAGTGGGTATGTTTGGCGCACTTAATTTTGGTATTTCGGTAGTCGTGCCCTTCGGTCACACTAACAAAACACCAGCCAAACAAAAACGAAACGACCGCCAGCAAATATATCTCTCAACTTGACTCACTTCCCATTCCCGTTGATTGTGTCGCGCCTGCAGCATGTCTGAGAAGCCGACTGTTCTGATTTTGGGTGGTAAGTACCGCTAAGTAGCGCAGCCTCCACTCGCGACCACATCCCCATTCCGCTTATCACTAAATGCATCGTTTTTGCGTGCCCCGCAGGCTGCGGCTTCATCGGACGCAACTTGGCCACTTATCTGCTGGACAATGAACTGGCGCAGGAAATACGGCTGGCCGATAAGACCCCTCCCCAAATGGCCTGGCTGAACGAGGAGCAGGAGCGAGTCTTTGATAGCGATCGGGTGGAGTTCTGCAGCGCCAACCTTATAAACGCCGGTAGGTAATCACATTAGGGTGGTTCGCTCTGTGGGAGTGGACAAAATGTGGTGAAATCATAGGTCCACTAAAACCCTTTCTTGGAACTAGATCTAGTCGAAGGTAAAAAAAATCGCCTTGAAGTTTAATTTGAATACTTCTTTTATCACAGAATCTAAAGGAATTCCTTAGAAACGAATCTAAAGATATTCCCTAAAAACAGCATATCCTGTAAGAAATATTTAGAATAAACGATCACCTCACTAACTGTTCCCGAAACGAACCACCCTAATGCAGTTGCACCTAAACTGGTTTTGAAACCCACCTCTTTGTGTTTACAGCCTCTTGCAAGGCGGCCTTTGCGCCACACCCCACGACCGGAAGGGCCTGGGACATCGTCATCAACTGTGCGGCCGAGACGCGCGCCAACCAGGATGATGCCGTCTACAAGGAGGGCATCCTGAAGCTGAGCCTGAACTGCGCCAATGAGGCGGCTGCCCAGCGGGTAAGGCGCTATGTGGAACTAAGCTCCGGATGTGTGAACAGCAGCGAGAAGACGCCACTGAAGGAGGACTGCAAGCTGGACCCCTGGACGGGCGTGGCCCGGCAGAAACTGAAGGTGGAGAAGGAGCTGGCCAACATCGACGATCTCAGCTACACGGTCGTCCGCTTGCCCGTGGTCTATGGCATTGGCGATAAGCGCTATTTGAGTGAGTCTCTCCCTTCGCTAATGCCCAATAATTGTTGTAATTGACAAACGGTGGCCAAACCCGGCCCCACCACCCATTGCCTCCCGTTCACAGTGCCTCGCATTATAATCGCTGCCATTTACAAATACCTCAACGAGACAATGAAGCTGCTGTGGAACGATGCCATGCGTCTGAATACAGTGCACGTATCGGATGTATGCGCTGCCGTTTGGCAACTGGCTCAGAGTCCCAAGACTGCCGGTCACATCTACAATATCGTCGATGATTCAGCGTCGACGCAGGGCAGCATTAGTAATCTGTTGGTGGATATTTTCGACATTAATGTGGACTATTTCGGATTGGTCATGTCGAATTTGGCAAAAGTAAGTAGCACAAAGAAACATTTGACATTTTTGAGATATCTGGTTGTGATTTGCATAAGCTTTACGTAATTTTATTAATTCCCAAGAAGATTAACCAGTTTTAAGCAAAGGGTATTCATCGAAAACATTTGTGGAATGATGATTTCTTGTCCAAACTGATTGCTGTAAAAATTTCAATTCACTATATGAACAGAACTAGTAACCCAGCTTCAATAGTAAACATCTACAAAAATTTATTTAAGTAGCCTATTAAATTAATTTTGAGCGTAGCCTATTATTTTATTAAATATGTAATTAGATCATTACCATAAGCCTCATTACATGTAAGCTATAGTTTATTAATCATTCATCACTTGCTTTCAGCTTTATCCCACGGACACCGTTGGGGAAATCAACGACAAGCACATGGCACCCTGGGCCGAGATTTGCCAGCGCAATGGCATTGACAACACCCCGCTGACTCCGTACCTCGATGAGGAGCAGCTCCAGCACAAGCATCTCTACTTGGACAACACGAAACTGAAAGACTTTGGCTACGTGCTGCAGCATCCGAAACTCAATCGTGAGCTGCTCATGGAGATGGTGAACGACTACGTGAAGCAGCAATTGTTTCCCAAATCTTTGGTTCTTTGATTCGCCATTCCTACCGAAAGATTGCACCACGTTGACATGCACTCAAATCCGGATACATTTATACCCTGTAGTTAGTAAGCCAAAAGTTTTATTATTGAAATTGGCATGAGTTTATTAACGATTATGACTCCTCTTCCATTCTGTATACTGACTCCGATACTCCCACATGTACGCTGTGCTGTATCTCAGCTCTTTTTCCCACAAAAGTGTACTTATAGTATTATAGAACCCATATATTTTTGATACATTCCAATCGATCCAACGATGTATACGTTTTTACGTACGAGTAATTATATCATTGAGACTTAAATTTGTATTCCATTGTGATTAGCTAAGTGGCCAACTCCAGTTGACAATTAAAACGCACTTGTTTAGAGTTTAGTTTTGTGTATATTTGATTATTTTAATGTTACGGCAACGGAGCGATCGTACGATAAACGTGACTTGACGGGTACGAGACGTTGCGATACATAATTGAAAATGCAATTGCTTCACTTTGACGCTCATTAACTTAAAATTACAGAAAATCAACAATAATAAGCTCGCAACTTGTTCAACTTAATACGAAACACGGGCGAAAGTTGGCTTTTGTTTTGCTTGGTTTTGTTTGTTAAAAGGAGTAATTCCGGCCAGCTCCAATTGCCGTAGATATAAATTACGATTCTTGCATATCAGTTTTGTGACATTTTCATCTAAGACGGCGGTGCATGGAGCAATAGCAATAGTTATGCTCTTGAGTTCGATTGCTTAATAAACTAGTTAAGAGTCTGGGGGCTAATCAGCACACTCAGCGGGCTTAGAAGGCCAGGCCGGCATCGCGGTATGTGGTGAAGATCTTCTCGATGGAGTTGACGTAGGCAGCGGTTCTGAGGTCCAGGCCCAGGTTGTACTTCATGGCCGTCTTCATGATGGCGCGGGCGGAGCGCTCCATGGTGTAGTCCAGGCCGGAGTGTACGATGTCCTTCTCGGAGGCGCCGGAGATGCGCTTCTGGAACGACTCGGAGGGGGTCACGGGGATGCGACCGCCGACGCGGCCGAAACGGCGCTCCAATGACTCTTGCACGGATTCTGCAGTAAGACAGCGAGTGGGGATACAAAGAGGAATAAAGCAATTAGTTGAGAGTGCCACATGCTCTTGGGGAAACATTTATGACAAGATTTAAAGCCAGGGAACAACTACAGATAATGGATTAGAAGAAGTTTCGAATACACGTTTTAAACACTGGATTTGATGGTTGCAAATATTAGTGTGATTATGGGATAGAAATGATTTTTGAATGCTTGAGGATTATGCAGATAACAAATAAAAGAGGTACAGGTAAAACTAACTACAGAAAGGTTTACAGAACAAAAACAAGTAAAATTTACATGAGGTAAAAATGTGTTTTAAATAGGACGTGTTAACATAAAGAATCTTTTTATTGGGTTTAAGGATGGATAGGTGGAAACGAAAAGAATTAATAAGTTGAATGTACCGTCATTAATGATTCTTTCAATTGACTGTTGGACTGAGGCTACATTGTTGATAGAGAAACGGAAAAAGAAGAAGAATAAACAACGAATTACTTAGATGATAGTTCAAAATTAAATTACGATCTTAGAGACTCTTGGTGGTGGTTTGATTTTTGGTGTTGGTGGATAGGATCGAAAGTAAAGTAAGGAGAAACGAAATTTTGAAGAAGGAGAACCAAGTTTAATTCAAAACCAATCTGGGAAGAGCAAGTGCTGACAGAGCAAGCGCTATTCTGTACGGGTTTGGTATTTCATAAATTATAGCATAAGTAATCCATAAACCGATCAATGATATGGTATGATCAATGAGCCAAAATAGATAGATAGATAGAGAGATGAGGAGCAAAGTGCTTCAAGAGCTTATTGTTTCAAAGAGTAATAGTGATATAACTTACCGAGCAGATGGTAGTTGGACTCGCGCTCATACTTGAAAGTCAGACGACCGTACGAGACGTGGTTCAGGTTCTTCAGCCACTCGAAGAAGGAGACGGTGACACCACCGGCGTTGATGTACAGATCGGGGATAACCAGGATGTTGCGATCGATCAGGATCTTGTCGGCAGCGGGGGTGGTGGGGCCGTTGGCAGCCTCGGCAATGATCTGAAATAAATTAAAATCAATTATGTATACAAATTTAAGGAAATATGTCTAAATTTAAATAGTGTCGATTTGTTAAACCTAGGGATCTAGGGATCTTGTTTTAAATTAATGCTTCAATTGTCAGGATTCACTTTCCTACAAATATTTTATGTCTACTGTAGTAAAAAACTTAATGAAAGAAGAAATTTCACATTTTTAAAAATAACCACTTCAAATTTAAATATTATTTTACAGAAGGTCCGAAACTCGTTTGATTGTTATGAAATAATCACTTATTCTATATGTATACCTTAGCTTGGATTCGGTTGGCATTCTCGCTGGTGATGACCTTCTCGACGGCAGCCGGAATGAAGATGTCGCACTTCTCGAACATGAGGTTCTCACCCTCGT